ATCAACAGGTGGCCAGCCGAGGAGAGGCAGGACGCCTGGGACCCGGTCGAAAAATCATCGTGAATACATACCTGAATACAATAGTTGCGGCACTTTTTGCACCTGAGTGGGAGTTATTGTATCACAGGTGACTGTCCCAAACCACCCGATACATTCCTAACAACTAACGTTGGTGGGGTTTTTTACAGGATTGGTGAAGACGCGATGTTTCACCTGCTCACCGCCACGTCAATATTTTTGAGTTTACCGAATGACTGTCTCTGTCAGATGACAGGGGAACCCATTATTAACTTCAAGACTCCGCTAGGGATCGGTATCACTAATGCAGCTGTTCAGCACGCTGAAACGCCTTCCAATGCGCAGAAATCGGTATTACTCAAGAGGAAGCTCGCTCAAGATCATGCAGATGAGAGACCTGCTAAGCGATTCAAAAGGGCTGACACAACGAGTTCCATATCGTCAACTGAACAGACTAGGGTCACTGTAGCACAACAACCGTGAATACCTCGCCACACCGTAGCAGGGAATTCGCCAGCTTACATGGGACTACAGGAAAGCCCCCGCAGATATCACCTTCGGTCGAGCGCGTCTATTCTATTCTCGGCCTCGCCGAATTCCACACTCCAACACGATTCTGCTCGGGTTACCTCCGAAGCGTATGCGTATTTTCACGAGCTCGCTATTTTCACTCAATCATGTTCTGAAACAGACGTTCTGAACTGTTTGAAGCCTACTTGGTACAACACCTCCACAGAAGACCTTCGAAATTATGTGGATCCAGACCCAGTTACACAAGCCGCAAACACAAGACACTTATCGAAGTACATCTTCCCACGACAGTATGAGCTGTCAAGCCCATTCTATGCCACCGCACGCTCTCGTTACGATGCGGTCAATCTTCCCGACTATTCCGATCGCGAATCTGAGATCAAGGTACACAATATATCTTCAAATAGATTATCGATCATATGTTCTCTTATGCACCTCATTCATAGACCAGAGGTTCATGCAAGACCCCGAAGCGCCTGAGACCGGTCCTCCCGATTCTAGACAAGCTGATCAGCATGCACGGCAAGTGCCATTACAAGGCATTACTAGACACTGCATGTCCCTCAAAGGTGCGTCTCAGACTCGAACGCTACCAGGCGACGCTCGAACTGTATACACAGGTCAGGCAGGACAGTAGAAAACCACTCGATAGTAGTATAATTCTGGTATGTCCGTTGCAATACAAAAGACAAGTGCGCGGCTCTTCTGATGCACCATGCAGGAGATGATGTCCGAATATTCTTCACAACTTCGCACTCAGCCGAACCTGTCGGATCCAAGCATCTTCGATCATGAAGGGAGCACGATATCCGCTCGTGGTTTGTCGCAAGCACAGCGATATGTAAGGAATAAACCCAAGTTTGCCGAATTTGCCTGTGGCCATACCGAGGTTTGTGAACAGAGACGAAGTCCAGCCGAAAAATTCTAGATCACTGACGTGCATACATGTCAGGTGTTCCGCTACGCAACCCTTGTTACTGACGCGGTGATCCCGCGTATCTTCTGGGGCAGTGATGCAAATTACAAGCTCATACTGCAACGTGCGCACTTCGTACTGTGAAAGGACTGTTTCTGAATAGCACGGTACAGACATTAAAGCGTTCATTTCTGCGAGACGTTACGAGACTTTCACATTACATGGCCTTTTGCAAGGCCTTTCGACGACTGAATGCGACTGGCTCATCCCCGACAATCAAAAGCAGGGAAGGACGCCCGTGAGCGACTCATTGAAGCGTAGGGAGTTGATGGAAGATTTCCTCTTCTGGTATTTCGACTCGTTCTTATCCCCACTTCTTCGGGTATGCCTAGTCTTCGTCGTCGTATTTGAACGACACACCTGATGGACATGCATTTAGACGACCTTCTACGCGTCCGAGTCCTCTGCATTTCGCAATAGGATCCTGTATTTTCGACAGGACGACTGGTCTACGCTTTGCGCTCCCCTTATCGAGCAACTCAGCGCGAATACCTTCCAGAAGGTTGATGCGGTATGGGCCTCCCTGCTCTTCATATATTCATAACCAAAGTATGATCGCTCTGGCAGCATGACGTACAGGAGTTGCTGAAACAGCGCAAGCTCGGATTTTCCTTCGTACGACTTCTGCCCAAGGAGACTGGTGTGCGCCCGATTGTTAATCTACGCAGGCGAAATATTCCACGGCAGGTATTGACACTCTCGTCAAATACATAAATTGTCCTACCCTCAATTACGCGTCAGGGATCCTTTGATCGTACCGATCAATCTATCAACCAGATCCTCCAGGCTGCCTTCCAAATACTGACATACGAGAAGGTAATCACCTCACTGTCATAGAAATATTTGTGTAGTCTGCTGACATCCCGCGACAGGAGGCACAAAGCAAATTACTTGGTGCTTCGGTATTCGGACCAAACGAAGTCTATGTCGGGCTGAAGCAGTACAAGATGCGCCTGGCCGAACGTCATGGACGAAAGCTGTTGGTCAATAGCCAGTTTGGCTAGATACATGGCTGACTGGAGCCTTACTACAGGCCAAAGTTGTACTTCGTCAAAATGGACGTCCAAGCTTGCTTCGACACGATTGAGCAAGCGAAGCTCATCAGTATCTTGCGCGACATTGTGTCAGAGGTACGACGTTCACCTCCGTGTTATTGTGGGTTCTGAGATAAGATATCTTTCTCTCCGTCCAGGACCAGTACATTATTCAGAGATTCGGACAGGTGAACTGCGCGGGTTCGAGAGTGAGACGAAAATTTGCAAAGAAAGCATGGCCAGAAGGCGAGTTGCTTCCGAAGTACATACAAGGCTCATAGTGATATTCGGCGGCACAGATGATTGCCCTGACTTTGTCACCTCTGCCGCCGAGCTGGCGCAGGTTTTACGGCACACCATCTTTGTGGATCAGGTAAATCGGTACGTCCGTCCATTGTGTGTTATTGTTCATCTTTGGCACAGGTAGTGTATCCATCCTCCCGCAAAGACGACATCCTCAACCTCTTGGAAGAGCACATCACTGAGAATCTTGTCAAAGTATACGACTTTGGTATACTTGTTGATAGACTGCTTACGGACACAAACCCATCAGATTGGTAATGACTACTATCGCCAAATTATCGGTATTCCACAAGGTTCAGTACTCTCTGCCTTACTATGCTCCTTCTTCTACGGAGACTTGGAACGCACTCGTCTGAAATTCACGGAAGACCCGGAAAGTGTGAGTCTCATCTGCCGGAGCCTTTCCGATAGGCAGCTCACTCCAAGGCAGGTTGTCCTGCGTTTGATCGACGACTACCTCTTGGTCACTACCAGCTTACCGCGGGCAAAGGAATTCATGAAGGTTATGTATGCCGGTCAGTCCCCATTCGCTTGTCTGCTACCTTGTGTATTCTGACAAGGTGCTAGGACACCCCGAGTACGGATGCTTCGTTTCCAGAGACAAGACATTGACGAACTTTGACTACGACGAATCAATGAACATCATTGAGCCACGTCAGAGAGGTTCGTATTCTCCGGTTCGTTATTTGGCAACAGTGCTAATGAATTCGAATATTCTAGGCTTTCCCTGGTGCGGCTACACGATAGACATGAAGGATTTGTCTGTGTCAACAGATTACTCTCGCTGTAACGACGGATGTGTGTTCATGTTGTCGTACAATATGGCAATTACCCCTACTCAACCTCGACATAGACTTGCAGGACTCTCTCACTGTCGATACTGGCCGTCGTCCTGGAACTGCCTTCGTGCGCAAGATGTTTGGCAGGTACGTCGGGAAAGAGGAAATGCGCCAATTGTGAACTCAAGACAGAGCAGAATAACCTCGACGAAGACACATATCATTTATACAGATGCGACGCTCAATTCCAGGCGCACAGTATACCTTAACATCTATCAAAATTTCTTGCTCTCTGCTATGAAGATGCACTACTACTTGCGCACGTTGGGTCCAACTACCCGGGCGAATGTGCCCTTTCTTCTCAGTGAGCGCTCTTACTATGATGTTGCCTGCACGCCCTGGCATGCTCACCGTGTCCTAGATGCGATCAACCAATACTTTCACGAGACATTCGTTGCGATAAGAGGCAAGTCAACCAGCAAGGTTGCTGTAGCCAACGGAGGGCGATGCAACGTCCTTCGATCGGAAGTACTATGGTGCGTGAGCCGTAAATCTTGCTCTTGTCGTGTCGCCTCACAACTGGAGTTTTGGTCCGTAGGCTCGGCACACATGCTTTCCACTCCGTTCTGTCGCGCAAATCAAGCCTGTACGCGAGATTGCTCAAAATATTCATGGCCCAGCTTGCTGTGCCTCGGCAGCATACATTCAGACAGCAATTTCGAGGAGCAATACGCGAGGGACAGGCAATGATCGCAATGCTTCATTTTTGATTCTATTCCCTTAGAACAATCTCCTTCGTGACTGATCGAGATAGATACCCCGTATACCTTTCCCAACAGCTTATAATTTTATCGCAAGAGGTGCGACTTGTGATGCACGGGATCCACGTTTGGCGAACTTCGCGTTCGTTCTCGTGCTGACTTATCGTGCGTCCTTACCCTCACGCCTATATTGGCGAGTTTGTGGTTCGCAAGGACTGCAGATCCGTCAGCTGAAGAATCGAGGTGACACAAAGTAACGGGGCCAAGGATGAACTGATGCTGAATAAGCCAGCATACTTGTAACAGACTCGGATATCATGTACTCGGATACAATGTAGCCATCGCAAAGTTGCCCTTTGCGCGAGCGAAATGTAAAACATGAGGAACTGGACGACGGAGGTAACGCGATTGACCCGCCAATCAGATGCCTTACCAAAGATCTGGAGGGCGAATGCAAAGAGAAGCACAGACCGGTATGCTCGACAATAAGGTATAGCCATGCAAACTGATATGGCAATGGGTAGGAGATAACACAATTGGGCATCGTTCCGAGTTGCCCGCAACAAACAAAAAGTAGAAGTTCTCTAGCTGCTTCCTACTGCCCCAGTGAGGCTCGAACTCACGACCTTCCGATGTCATTTCACAGAACAGTGCACATGCGATAACAGTCGGACGCTGTAACCAACTCAGCCATGGGGCAATTGTGGGTGCTTGACCGTTGGCTGATGATAAGGCGTTAAGAGCCGGATCTCGGAAGAAGGTAAACCGAACTCACATGAGGTCAAGACTGCGGAACTGGAGAGAGGCAAGTGCAGTGATGAGAAATATGGTGAACCCATGCTGTCTCGGTCATCGTCCATCTCCCGAGCGGTACTCACACGCAGTACCACTGGATCCGTCTGCGCTGTCCGACGCGTCAGCAGCATCACCCGTTCTGTCAGCTTTATAATCCAGCCCTCGCGACGCGCTCCCTCCTCGTCGTCTTTCAGGACTCTATCTACAACCATCACCTGTTCCAGTCCCACAATGTCCGAAGGAAAGCCTGCAGCGTTCCACGAGTTAAAGGCGGAGCAGCCGGGCGGGAAGGTGTTCGAGTTTGATCAGCTCAAGGGCAAAGTCGTTCTGGTCGTAAACGTCGCGTCCAAGTGGTGTGTCCATCTTGTGCTAAGTCCATAATTTCGAGCTGAGAGCGTGCTGTAGTGGTTTCACCCCGCAGTACAAGGGTGAGATCTATCAACTGCTTGCTTCCTTCACCACGACGATGTGCTAAAGCAATCGCACGTAGGTCTCCAGGCACTGTACGATAAGTACAAGGACCGCGACTTCGTGATTCTTGGCTTCCCTTGCAATCAGGCACGCTATCTCCGTTATGTATCTCACTTGCAATACCTGCGGCTTACTCTGCTACAGTTTGGTGGTCAAGAGCCAGGAGATGACGCCGCAGTGGGCGAATTCTGCCAGCTGAACTACGGCGTGTCCTTCCCGATCATGAAGAAGTCCGACGTGAACGGTGACAACGCTAACGAGGTATACAAATACCTCAAAGAGCAGAAGTCCGGTCTACTCGGCCTCACTCGTATCAAGGTATGCATTTGCCTGATTTGCAGTTCCGACACACGCTGAGACGCTGACGCCGCGCAGTGGAACTTTGAGAAGTTCCTCGTTGACAAGAATGGCAAGGTCGTCAACCGCTGGGCGTCGACGACCTCCCCAGACGCTATCGCACCCGAGATTGAGAAGTTGCTATGACTAGATGGCGATGAGATGCAAGATGGAAGTGGAAGTCGGCAGTGCAAATTATGAAATGTAATTGTTTGTTCGGGTCACAGTGCAATCTACTGTTGTGGAACTAGATGTTGTTGTAGTGCAGCAGAGCTCACTGTTTCCAACGAATAGAATGAGCTGCAGGAAAGATAACCAAGAGAACTTCATACGACAGTTCGCGCTTCGCCCCATTCAACGAGGATGTGTCATGGGGTCCCTAGTCCGTCGGGGCAGGATTCACGGCTCAGAGAACATTGCAGCATACGATGTTGACGGATCCTCCGCCATCTCAGTGACGCATGCCCTGACACTCGTGATTATGCTCTTGATTACACTCGATACAATTGCTTACAAACCTTTTTTGAACCGAAACTACATTCAGACTGCTAATTTCGCATTCGTCTAGCCCAGCTCGATCAACAGTCAGGCAAGCATCCAGTCCCACCACCATCGACCGCCTCCGGTCCAATTTCCGGACGAGATAGGTCGAGTCTTTGCGCAGTTTCACTGTACTTCTTTCCATGGAACTCTCAAACGACATGAACTAAGCATCTTCGCCCCAGCGGGCTGGTCTAGATCCGGCAGAATTAATCAGTGTCCCACGTTGATGTATCCATATACGACTTACCTTTCTGCGAGGAGCGAGAACAAGGATTTTCAGAACGAAAGGATCCCTCTATACCAAACTACCCCCTACTCCACCAGATTTCCTATTTGCGCCATATCTTCCGAAGGCAGCTCCTCCCACTTCCAGCGCGGTCCGGACTTCCTCATGTATCCCCACCGCCATTCATCATTGCCGACCTGCCTGAGAACATGACCCGCTTCCACAGTCTGCTTCAGCTCTTCTAGCCAGTGCGGATGTTCGTCACTTTTCGCTTGCACAGAATCTTCGTCCGTGACCCACCAAGGTTGCGGGTACCAGTATTGGACATCCTCCGTGCGGAACAACATCATGACTGTGCCGAGGAACTCGGGATCGGCAGCGCTCTGTTTCTTGTCTTCTTCTTCCCGCATCTTCCGGCCAGCCTCCCAGCTAGTACGCAAGAACGGGTCCTTGAGGAGTTCTTGCGTTAATTCGAATCCCCCACCAACGACCCGGAACGCGAGCGCAGGATTCCCCTCACAGTCGACGCGATAGCGGATGTGATAGACCATGGATTCCTTCGCGAAGTCGAAGTTGCGTTCACCAGCAGGTCCGCCGCGCATATACATTGCGGAGTAGATTGCGTGGTTTCGGAATGGCGCCGAGTGTGCTTCTATGAAGTCTTCCAATAGGTTGATGCGCTCAGAGGCACTCGGGTACCCGGGCCTAAGGCCAAGTCCCCTGAGACCAAGTCCCAGCCGTTCGTTCAACCGACGAACCTCGGTATTTGCTTTGGTAAACTCGCATAGATATCTGTAATGATGGAATATTGTCTTGCGAGATTTTTCGCGCAGAGTGACGCTACGACGCACTTGTGGATTTTCCATGCATCCTTCTGATACTTCTTGCTGCAGTAGACCGCGTTTTTACACGCAGAGCACCACGGAAAATGCTGCCCTTTTTCTGGTAGCTTGCCGCAATGGTAGCACTCATGGTTCTTGTCCCGTATCGGGCCTTTGCCGACCTCGCGAAAGGACATCTGGAGACGGTTAACCGACATCTTGTGTTTGTTTCGAAAGGATATACCAGATTGGTTGGGTGTATGCGGTACTGCACGTAGATGGGTGAAAGGGAAACAAGGTTCGTTTACTACCTTCTATAGTTATATAAAACGTTCAAGAGCTACTCTAGGGGTGCCACTTCCAAGAGAGGTAGCATACTTGCTGCATTCTTTTTCACCACACTTGGTGACTTCCGCGACTGTAATTTAAATTGTCTCGAAAAGGGACCCTCAGCCGTGGTCTGTAACTTCACGCAACTATAGCATTGATATTCATGGAATCCTGATCTCAGCTGTCTAATTGATCTCGTGAGTTTCTGCCTCTATGCTCTAGAGACTAGCTGGTTGTCCTGCGACGCCAAGAGGCATCGGCAGCACCGGTGTCACGAACGTGCTTTCCCGGCGTACTCTCCCGAGGGCCGACAGCAGGGTCCCATAGCTTTCCTTTGCGCAAGAGTCGCGTTTTATTTACAACTACATGTTTCGTATCATGATACTCTGAAAATGTTTAAGCTGCTCCAAGTCGACGAGTGTGCAGGCTAGGTCGCTCGAATTTATTACCTTGCTTGTCAAGGTTGCTGTGCACCCCCATAATTCACAAGCGCCGAGCCATTTCTGACAAACACGACCAAGCAACAGCCCGGGCGCTTTGAAACAGAGTACTCAGTCCAGATCGTAGAAGTAACAAGTCGTAGCATTACATGGTGCTACTACCTTCACGTCCGAAGTCCGTCAAAAAGTCAATCTTGTCCATTGGGAACTTGGAGCACAATCGTTGCTATTTGTACTCCCCACACAGTACGTGTCCCGGTCCCTTGCCCGCGATCATTTATCTGAGTTCTAAATAGATCATCGGCATTACGGGCTGAGTTCAGAATGTCTGCGGGTCCCGCTGTTCAGGATAAATCTCCGATTGTATTTGAACATGCGGGGTTGAAATCGATACTGAAATCTATTACACAGTTGCCTGAACGTCCCTACTCATCTACTGGGTAGACAAGCAAGGTTGCTGTTGGCGTAAGCCGACGCTTCCCGAGTATCGGTGTAGCCGCCACAATCGCGTCTCGAGCTGAGCGCACGTGCACGTGCACCGTGCACCGTGCACCCCCGTTCCAAGTCGAACAAACTCGTTCTATGGCCTTCTGCCCATGTCGAACCTTCCTCTGAACTCATTCTGAGCTGGCCCTTGGCTTCAAATACCTGTTTGTGTGAGAGAGACTCCCGGGAAGAAGGACCCACAAGCCGCGCCAGCTGCGCCTCTCACCGTTCTCGAGCTTGGCATGCCACGCCTGTTCGCCCTCCTCACGTTCCTCGTGCCCACGCTCGGCGTCCTCTTCGTCCTGCGCTCGCTCCTCCCCGCGCTCGACGTCCTCAGCTTCCCTCTGACATGGCCTCTTGCAGTTCACCCTGACTATGCCAACGCCCCGCCCGACGCCGGCGCGCAGCAGCCGCTCGTCGCCGCGCTCCTCTCCAAGGCGCAGAAGGCGCATGCGAGCGTAGCGAACACTTTGCGTCTACGCCCCGTGGCGCCTGCACCGGGTGCGTTTGTGCGCCGGATTGTTGCGGTAGGCGATCTGCACGGGGACATGCCGAATGCACAGGCGGTGCTCCAGATGGCGGGCGTGGTCGACGTGGCGGGGAACTGGACCGGGGACGTGGACTACTTTGTGCAGACTGGAGATATCATTGATCGGTGAGTCGTACTTGGTCTTGTTGTGAGGGCTCAGCTAAGGCTGTGCGGCAAGGGGAGATGATACGATCAAATTATACAAGTTCATGGATAGATTGCGCGAGGAGGCGCATGCGGCAGGTGGGACGGTCTTGACCCACCTCGGGAACCACGAGTGGATGAACGCTATCGGTATGTGCTGTGGTCAAGTCCCTTTTCGGTGCCCGCTGACCTTGACTGTCCTAGGTGACTGGAGGTCAGCACCCCGCAAGCCTCTGCGCAGAGGTTGAACCTAGTACTGACATCGCATAACACCAGATACGTTTACCCTTCCGAAATCGCTACCTTCGGTTCCGTCGCTGCGCGCCAGAAGATGCTCGCCCGAGGGCGTATCGGCAAGTCTTGGGCTGCCAACTATACCACCACTTCCCGTCTGCCTCTACACCCCGCCCTCGGGCCGCCCAACACCGACTACGACCCATCCGCCCCGTCTTCCGTGCCCTCCGCGCTTGCCCACGCCGCAATCTCATTCGTGCACGGCGGGCTCGCGCCGGACTACCCCGAGTTGACGCCATTCCCGTCGCGCATCAACGGGCTGGGGCGCAGCCTCCTCGCAAAGCT